GGGGAGAAGAATAGGATTCATACCTTTCCCAAGTGTATTAGCACGCAAATGAATGTAATTGATTCGACTGGAATTCGAACTCGGTTCTCCGATTCCTCAATCCGAGCCGCTATCCATTACTCCAACGTATACGTCATCGTGTTGTTTGTATAGCGTTTTTTTGTTTTTTTTTACTTTTTCCGAAACAAACAAGAAATGATTAACGAAAAGCTTCCTGTTTTCCTTCATTTTAACAAACGTTTAAAACTCACAATCCACTTACAAATTTGTATGTGACAATGCTTTGAAATGTTAACCTTCGAAATATGTAAGGTATATACTCGTGTATAAGACGACTTATATGCATAATGAGACCCCTGAAGTTTTGCTTGAATTCTAACTTCCTCCTGAAAAAATATCCGTGTATAGTACAATCGGTCACCACAAATGTATCATTTTTAACCTCTTCTAAAAATATATATGTATATTGCGGAACCCATTTATTTTTTCGCAAAACGGATAATAAAAAGTCGTACTACACGCAAGTATATACCATATTTAGGTCATATATTTCATTCAGGTGAAACGAAAAGGCGTTTTTTAAACTCCATCTATTAAGAAAGGTTACAAAGATTTCTTCCAACCCAATAACACTTAGTGAGATCTGTTGGCGAAAAGTCCAGTTCAAATCTAAATGGAAATACTCTGCAATTTAGATTATAGATTGAAAAGTCTGTTCGTATCATTTCCAACAAGAAAATATCTTTTTTATGGGTTTCTTTAACAGAAAAAACAAAGTTTTATCTGTCACTGCGATAATGGACAAAAGGTTGTCTATTTGACGTATATATCAATTGGTTTCAATCTGCCTGAGGTTTTATTGAATGTGATTGTCTGCATTGCAGGCTTCTCTTACACTGGCGTATGATGGAAATGACAACGAAAAATGCCTTCCAGGTTTTCAAGATATAAAATCGTGCAGAAGTGGCTACCATAATGTTTTTGGTTTTTATTGACGTGTTAAAAGCACATAGAATGAGAAACTCTGATTTACGGCTCGGCAAAAAAAGGCTTCATCACTGACATGTTCAAGCATTTAAAGATCGGCGAATAAAAATAGCGTTAAATTTATATTTCAGTTAATCAGTGGCCTTATTTTTTTTTTTTTTTTGAGTCTCAGTTTAATTGGACATCATTCTATTGAAATTACAAACATTGAAACAAACTGCAAACATGACAAAGAAGAATCTTTGATTTAATTTGCATGAAAACAACAACTTATCGTTTAATTTCGACCTTTATCAAATAGAATATTTACTCATTAGCCCCGGCAATTTTAGCTGTCCAGTCGGTGAAATCTAGAATACGTAGACTGCTTCTGCAGAAAGAGAAATATAACCCCCAAATAAAAGGGGTTCCACTTCCGGTTGAATGTTTAAAGATTCAAGTGTAAATCTGATCAATTTTTATTTTTAATCCGATATTTATTACTCCAAACATTATTAAATTGGATACTCCGTATTTTAAAAAGACGTCCCATTTTTATTTATCAAGCCGTGTGTATTACGTCTATCACTCTGCCCATTCGAAAAGTCATAGTGTAGAAATATACGCCCTCTTTGTAGGTAAAAAAAACAGTTTGATCCAGTGTGCTTTACAGCTCGGCAACGGAGAACTTCAGCAGCAAGCAAGGCTCTGTTTTCCCTTTTTAAAGGAAGCACGTCACCTTCGTCCAGATTATTTTATGGAAATTTTCATATCTGCCTAGTTTCGTATCTGCAACATAAACAAAACTATTCCTAAAAACATAATGGATTCTTATTTTTAATCTGACATTTTTATTCAAAATTTATAATAGGGAATACCGCGTATTTGAAATATCCTCTCCGTTTTTTTGTTTATCAAACAGCGTATTTTTGCGTCCATTGGCCCACACACTCGAGAAATCTTAGTAAAGATAAAGATTTATAACTGAAGACAAATATAATCCCATTTTCGTCATAGAAATGATTACCAACAAACGATATCGGTTTACGGCCACATCACGTTAAAACACAGGTTCTCGTACGAGTATGGAAGTCAAGTAACCTTGAGACTGGTCAGTACCTTGATTGAATACCGCGTGCTGTAATCTTGGATGTGCGGGTGGTGTAATAGATAATGGCTCGGAATTGTTAATCGGAGAGCCGAGTTCCAATTTCCGTTGAATTCGTTATATTCACTTACGCGCAAATACCTTTCGGGAAAGTATGAATCCACTTCTTCTCCCCCGCTATGGGTTAAATAGCAAGACTTGTATCACTAAAAGCATTATTATCTCCCAAAATAATAAATAAAATATTTAGATTTCTGCATTAAATGACCCATAGAGGTTAATATGCCACAAACACTTATGTAGTCAATCAACCAACTAAACAACAGACGTTATAACATCGTAATCATCTGTCGAAAGCCTGGATCGCCCGCAGATGATCACCTAACTAGCTCTCTCCTATGCCTCGGTTGCGTGCCAATGTCTTCCTTTCCGGAGGAGCAAGATATATTGACGAAGATCTTGTTACTGATAAAGTACGGGATTTACGCCAGGAAATACAAGATTGAATTGAAATTAATGCAATAAGGAATATGTGTTCTAAGGGAAATTTATCTGCGGTGACCCCAATATGGACGCGACTCACCCTACGACAGACCAAAATCAAATCGGCACTCATTGTCACACCGTAGTATCAGAGAAACAAGATACACCAATGGGTTGACATAGGAAGTGTCCGCATAGCCACCAGGGGCAGAATCGCACTTCAAAAGATGTCAGTGGCTGCCCCGGATATATAAACAGGTTGTCGACCTAGCTCCGGATGTGCACAAATGGGAATACCGGATAACTGAAAGGTATATATGCGCCCAACACGAGAGGGAAAAGCGAAAGAATCGTTTACGTTTTGGCGAGAATAAAATAAAGGTTCGAGAAAATGTCCAAAGCCACACACTCACAGGCCGATATTAATTGACTACACCCGGATGTGAGTAAAGAATAATTTTTACGTGTGAGAGATTCAGTGGCGTATGCTTATTCGTCTTTAGAACGATAACGTTACACTGATATATCCAGGTTATGCGATAAATATGATTGGTTTCAGAGCAAAGATTCTTATCTATAACAGGTATCGTGTAATCTAATCTTAGCTGACTCGTCTTATTAAGAATGGACTGGGAAGAGCTAATTACTTTTCCCTTAGAAATTTCTTGAAGGAGAATATCAGTATGGTATCATGAAGGTTATGGTACCAAGAATTTCTGTTTTTATTTTATGCTCACAACATTAGCGAAAATAACGAAGTCAATGTCGACTGAGTGCAAAATGCCTTCTCCAGTGTTTCACATTTTTTCTTTAACTGGATTCCTAAAAAAAAAAAAAAATGGCAGAAAGGTTACTGTTTTTACAATTATCCGACCTGTCTACTCCTTCTTGTTTGAAAAATGTTATTTTATAAACCACGTCAGAAGAAGGATGAATGTGTTTAACATGTTTTACGGTAAGAAGAAGAAAGTCATTTTTGTTTTCGTTCAGTCGAAATTGTCTTGATGGCCAAATTGGCATCGCTTTTCTCACGAAAAAAAAAATTCTCTTTGATTTCCAGCTTTCTTTATTTGTTTTTGTGATCTTATTTCTATCGTTTGTTTTATTTTGCTTCGAAACGTGCAGGGGGGGAATATTTTCGTTGGCTTTCATATATTTATTATTTTTTACATGCATTTTACATTTACCTGGAATTCCATCACTTTCATGTTTATGTCGTCAATGTTCGACGATGTTTTTTTTGGCTGCGTGTAGATGATAGCTGTGATGTCAGTCTTGGCAGCCCTTCAACCAAAAATGCCCGAAGAGCAGATGCGACATTCTAACCTTCTAGATAAAAAGTGTAGCGGTATGGAGAAGCGAAAGAGGAAAGGGGGGGCGGGGATAGAACGGCAAAAGGAGACGAGTAAAATTTGAGATGGAAGTCAAAAATGTATTTTCAGAAGAATAGAAAAGAGAAAGATATCAATTCAAGATGGAATATCACGTAACGAGTAATAAACAAATCAAATAGAAATAAATGAAAAGAAAGAATGAAAGAAAAGAAAAGAATAGATCCACAAACGCGGGAAAAAGACGACAAGCGTAAAAAGCGAACAAAATGCAACGGGGTAAAATGAAAAAAAAAAAAAAACAGATTGATACAAAGAAAAGTTTTAAGGCGTTTGGAAAATAATTAAGTTTTACCAGAGCGGATATATATGAAAGAAGGAAAGAAAGAAAGAAAGAAAGAAAGAAAGAAAGAAAAGTGACAAACGTGGGAAGAAAGGCAACGCGGTAAAATGACAAAAAATACATATTGATACAAAGTAAGATTTTAAGGTTTTCGGAAAATAATTCAATTTTAACAGAACGGATATAAAAATGAATTTAACTTAAATTTATTTTACTTGCTTTAGAGTCTGTCTATATTTCTGAGATGAGGTATTATGTAAATTATTTACATTATTCGGACTATTGTCCTTATCTTTGTCGCCATATTTATCACAACGGTTCGGCCGTTGTACGCTCCGGCCTTCTTCGTCAGGTGGTTGGAATTTCGAACTGAACCCTTTATTTCGCTCACTGGGGCAAACTGTTCCAGTTCCACGTTTGATGGATGTCAGTTATCACTTATCTCCTGCTAATATCCCTCTGAAAGTTCTCCACTACCTTTACCGGGTATTGAACTCACACTCTTTGGGTCCTATCACTGGATCTAACCAACGCCTTTATCCACTGTGCCATGGGTATGAATTTCTGGGTATTATAAACCTAATGTCTTCAGCAACCATTTTTACCAGTGATCATATTGCAATTTTGCTGTTACCATACATGTTTTTACCAGAGCTCATATTGCAACTTTGTTGTTATCATTGCTTTTCTCTGGCACTCCTTCTTACTGGTTCCCATATTGTATTTATTTCTCTGCTTGCTTTCTCTATATTTCTTCCTCTTTGATGAGTTTCTTTATTCTTTCTCTCCTTCTGTGCATTCTTTCTATCGTTTTCTATATTTTTTTCTTTTTCTTCCTTTTTTTTCTACGTTTCTGTCTCTTTTTTTCTACCTTTCTTTCTTTTTTCTACCTTTCTGATTTTCTCTCTTTTTTTTTCATTCTTTTTCTTTCTTTCAGATTTTCTTTCATGTTAATTCTTCGATGCCTTTACATTTTTTTTTCTTTCTTTGGTTTATTCATTCTTTTTTTCTTTTTCTCTTACCATCTTTCTTTCGTTTTCTTTTTTCACACTTAGTAACCTTTAAATTTTTTCTTTCTTTCTTTTTCTTTGGTTTTAGACATTCTTTCTTTCTTTCTTTTTCGTATCACTTTTCTTTCTTTCTTTTTCTCGCCACCTTCTTTCTTTCTTTTTTTCTCCTTTATTTCAATGCTTATATCCACTCTTAGTTACATTTAAAAACTTTTCTTTCTTTCCTACTTTCTTTCTTTCTTTCTTTTTCTCATCATCTTTCTTTCTTTCTTTCTTTTGCTTCATTCCTTAGCTCCTAGTTGCTTTTCAGTTTTTTTTATTTTTATTTTTTTCTTTGGTTTTGGTGATTCTTTTTCTCGTCACCTTTTTTATTTCTTTCTTTTTCTCATCATCATCATCTTTCTTTCTTTCTTTCTTTCTTTCTTTCAATGCTTATATTAACTCCTACTTGCCTTTCAACCTTTTCTTTACTTCTTTGGTTTTAGTCATTCTTTCTTTTTCTCACCATCTTTTTTTCTTTCTTTCTTTTTCCTTTGGTTCAATGCTCATATCCAAATTTAGTTGCATTTAACATGTTATTTTTTTGGTTTTAGTAATTCTTTCTTTCTTTCCTTCTTTCGGTGCTTATATTAACACCTACTTGCCTTTCATTTTTTTCTTTAGTTTTAGACATCCTTTCTTTCTTTCTTTCTTTTATCATTATCTTTTCTTTCTTTTTTTTTCTTTCTTTCCTTCTTTCAGAGCTTATATTAACAACTTTAACGCCTTTCACTTTTTCTTTAGTTTTAGTCATTCTTTCTTTCTTTCTTTTTCTCATTATCTTTTCTTTCTTTCTTTCTTTCTTTCCTTCTTTCAAAGCTATATTAACTCCTACTTGCCTTTCACTTTTTTTCTTTCGTTTTAGCCATTTCTTTCTTTCTTTTTTTCTCACCAGCTTTCGTTCTTTCTTTCATTCTTCTTATTTGCCTTTATATATTTCTTTTCATTCTTTCATCGCTTAACACAATATTAACCTGCTTTTACGTCTTCTTTGTTTTTCTTCTATCTTTTTACTTTCTTACCTTCTCTATCTCATTTCTTTATCTTTTTATCATTATACCCTAATTTTCTTTCTTTTCTCATTTATTTATTCACATATCAATTCTTACTGAACTTTGCATTTTCTTCCTTTCATTTATTCTTTTTTGGTCTATCCATTTTTTTTCTATTCTCCCCTATTTTTTTTTCTTTCTTTGTGATTTTATCGAGTCTTAATTCCCTTCTCTATTTTTCTTTCTTTCTTTTTTCATAGCTTTAGACACTCCTTTTCATTCTCTCTTTCTTTCTAATTATTTTTTACGTATTTTTCATGTCACTTTATTGCTTTTATTTTATTTTACCCGAATTTTAGAAAACATTCTTCCTTCTTTTTTTCTATTGGTATTTTCGCAATTATTTTACTTGCTGGGCACAATCATCCGCCTCTCACCCATCGTCTTCCTTACACAAATCCTCTTCTTTTCCTCCACACACTCTCACTCATCTGAGGTTTTCTAATGTTTTCACTCTTCTCATTTACATTTTCCCTTTTGTCACTCTCCTTTCATCGTTGTTATGCTTCCTCTCTATTTATTTTATTTTCAATCTCTTTACCTTATCTCCACTCTACCATCTTTAATAGATTTCAATAGTCAAACAAAAGATATCTACGCTAGCGTTTTCTGTTTCAACCAATTTTCTTTCTTGGGAATTAATACAAAGTAAAATCAGCCGGTTCGATGTTTAACATCACTTGTATTCCTCTTAGAATCAGCATTCCAGGGAAAAAAGGTATTTTCCTTTCATTGAAGCCACCTAAACATAAAGTAATCAAGTAATTTTGTAAAGTTATTTACAAAGATTCAAACTTGAATTCAGTCTTTGACTCATTGATTAAAGTCAAAATAGACTTTACTCTATTGAACGGTAAGAGCATCAGAATAACTATAGAAAAATAGCGCTTTCCTAAACCATAAATAATTCGTGGCTAAGTAGGTTAAGGCGTCGAGTGTGTCAGATAAGCACCAGATGTATTGTAGGACACTCCATATTTTGACTGGAAGCTACTTCATCACACTGAAAACATTACGATAAATAGCAATTAAAGAAAATAGACGACTTATGGAAATACTTATTTGCGAATCTTCAACATATTAAAAACACGTGGACTGGTTGTTGTGAATTTGCTTTTAACTTGAGCAAGAAACAACCTTATTTGAAAGCGTTTACATCTTCTTAAACTAGCTTTGGGTCTCTGACGGGATTCAGTAAGTGAGAACTTAAAAAAATCTTTTGGAAAAACATAATAAAAATAGCAAGAGATGGAAAATTAAATATCACGGTTCGGAGAGTAATTGAGTTTTAGTGGAAAAGATATAAAAGCCACTTAACACAAAATAATCAACTAAAAGGACTTTTCTTTTCCAAGAATTAAGAATTGGTCTCTGCTTCGCGCAAAGTCACAATACACTTGACTCCACTTTCAGATTTGCCGTTCTAGAATATAAGGATGAAAGGAAAAGAAAACACGCATCAAATTCAACATAACTGAGAATGAAATCGTTGAAATACGAATTACAAACAATGACAGAGAAAAAAATCGAATAGAATATCAAAATAACTATACAAAAATAGCGCCTTGCTTAATCATAAAGCTTTCGTGGTAGAGTTGGTTAAGGTGACGAGTGTGTAAGATGAGCTCCAGGTGTATAGTAGGACACTCCGCTTATGTTAGAAAGCTTCTCTGTGATTTACTTTTAAATAACGCAAGTGATATCTTCTTTATTTGAAATCGTTATATTTGCTGAAACGAGCACAACATATCCAATCTTTGATGAGATCTTCTAAGTGACAACTTAGAAAACTTTCGGAAGATAAATATAATAAAAATAGCAAAAAGGGATTTAAATGTTACAGCGGTCGGTAAGTTTTTCTTAGAAAAGATATTAAAAAAACAAATGTAAATGAAATTTATTTAAATATTATTTATCAAAAACGTAAGCACCTTAAATATCAAAGACTGCGACTCAAGCTGTTGATTCCATGTACAATTCCAAGTATACAGAAATTTTCGATTCCAGATATAAATAAATTTCAATTCCAGGTACAATTCCAAGTATACAGGAATATTCGATTCCAGATATAAAGAACTTTCGATTCCATGTACAATTCCAAGTATACAGAAATTTTCGTTTCCATATATATAGAAATTTCCAGTTCAGGTACAATTCCAAGTATACAGAAATTTTCGATTCCACATATATAGAAATTTCGATTCCAGGTACAATTCCAAGTATACAGAAATTTTCGATTCCAGATATATAGAAATTTCGATTCCAGGTACAATTCCAAGTATACAGAAATTTTCGTTTCCATATATATAGAAATTTCGATTCCAGGTACAATTCCAAGTATACAGAAATTTTCGATTCCAGATATATAGAAATTTCGATTCCAGGTACAATTCCAAGTATACAGAAATTTTCGATTCCAGATATATAGAAATTTCGATTCCAGGTACAATTCCAAGTATACAGAAATTTTCGATTCCAGATATATAGAAATTTCGATTCCAGGTACAATTCCAAGTATACAGAAATTTTCGATTCCAGATATATAGAAATTTCGATTCCAGGTACAATTCCAAGTATACAGAAATTTTCGATTCAGATATATAGAAATTTCGATTCCAGGTACAATTCAAGTATACAGAAATTTTCGATTCAGATATATAGAAATTTCGATTCAGGTACAATTCAAGTATACAGAAATTTTCGATTCCAGATATATAGAAATTTCGATTCCAGGTACAATTCAAGTATACAGAAATTTTCGATTCCAGATATAAAGAACTTTCGATTCCATGTACAATTTATACGAAATTTTCGATTCAGATATAAAGAACTTTCGATTCCATGTACAATTCAAGTATACAGAAATTTTCGTTTCCATATATATAGAAATTTCAGTTCAGGAAATTTTCAGAAATTTTCGATTCCAGATATATAGAAATTTCGATTCCAGGTACAATTCAAGTATACAGAAATTTTCGATTCATATATAGAAATTTCGATTCAGGTACAATTCAAGTATACAGAAATTTTCGTTTCCATATATATAGAAATTTCGATTCCAGGTACAATTCCAAGTATACAGAAATTTTCGATTCCAGATATATAGAAATTTCGATTCCAGGTACAATTCCAAGTATACAGAAATTTTCGATTCCAGATATATAGAAATTTTTCGTACAATTCCAGATATATAGAAATTTTCGATTCGATTTCGATTCAGGTACAATTCAAGTATACAGAAATTTTCGATTCCAGATATATAGAAATTTCGATTCCAGGTACAATTCCAAGTATACAGAAATTTTCGATTCCAGATATATAGAAATTTCGATTCCAGGTACAATTCCAAGTATACAGAAATTTTCGATTCCAGATATATAGAAATTTCGATTCAGGTACAATTCAAGTATACAGAAATTTTCGATTCAGATATATAGAAATTTCGATTCCAGGTACAATTCAAGTATACAGAAATTTTCGATTCCAGATATATAGAAATTTCGATTCCAGGAAATTCAAGTATACAGAAATTTTCGATTCCAGATATATAGAAATTTCGATTCCAGGTACAATTCCAAGTATACAGAAATTTTCGATTCCAGATATATAGAAATTTCGATTCCAGGTACAATTCAAGTATACAGAAATTTTCGATTCAGATATATAGAAATTTCGATTCAGGTACAATTCAAGTATACAGAAATTTTCGATTCAGATATATAGAAATTTCGATTCCAGGTACAATTCAAGTATACAGAAATTTTCGATTCCAGATATATAGAAATTTCGATTCCAGGTACAATTCAAGTATACAGAAATTTTCGATTCCAGATATAGAAATTTCGATTCCAGGTACAATTCAAGTATACAGAAATTTTCGATTCAGATATATAGAAATTTCGATTCCAGATATATAGAAATTTCGATTCCATGTACAATTCCAAGTATACAGAAATTTTCGATTCCAGATATATAGAAATTTCGATTCCAGGTACAATTCCAAGTATACAGAAATTTTCGATTCCAGGTACAATTCCAAGTATACAGAAATTTTCGAGTCCAGATATAAAGAAATTTTGATTTCAGGTAATATTCCAAGTATAAAGAAATCTAGATTTTCCCCGAAAAAAGTTCGAAAGACTGTTCTCACTTTCTGTTTCTGAATATTCTATTCTAGTGATGAGGAAAAATGAAAGTCAAT